CACCACACCAGCATACATGACCACAAGGTTCCACACACACCAGGTTCACCACATACATGACCACAAGGTTCACCACACCATACATGACCACAAGGTTCACCACACCAGCATACATGACCACAAGGTTCACCACACCATACATGACCACAAGGTTCACCACACCAGCATACATGACCACAAGGTTCACCACACCATACATGACCACAAGGTTCACCACACCAGCATACATGACCACAAGGTTCACCACACCAGCATACATGACCACAAGGTTCACCACACCAGCATACATGACCACAAGGTTCACCACACCACCATACATGACCACAAGGTTCACCACACATACACCATACATGACCACAAGGTTCACCACACCATACATGACCACAAGGTTCACCACACCATACATGACCACAAGGTTCACCACACAAGCATACATGACCACAAGGTTCACCACACCAGCACACATGACCACAAGGTTCACCACACCAGCATACATGACCACAAGGTTCACCACACCAGCATACATGACCACAAGGTTCACCACACCAGCATACATGACCACAAGGTTCACCACACCAGCATACATGACCACAAGGTTCACCACACCAGCATACATGACCACAAGGTTCACCACACCAGCATACATGACCACAAGGTTCACCACACCAGCATACATGACCACAAGGTTCACCACACCAGGTTCACATGACCACAAGGTTCACCACACCACCATACATGACCACAAGGTTCACCACACCAGCATACATGACCACAAGGTTCACCACACCTGCATACATGACCACAAGGTTCACCACACCAGCATACATGACCACAAGGTTCACAACACCAGGACCACAAGGTTCACCACACCAGCATACATGACCACAAGGTTCACCACACCATACATACCACAAGACCACAAGCATTCCACAAGGTTCACACTCCAGCATACATGACCACAAGGTTCACCACACCAGCATACATGACCACAAGGTTCACCACACCAGCATACATGACCACAAGGTTCACCACACCAAGCATTACCACAAGGTTCACCACATCAGCATACATGACCAAAAGGTTCTCCACACCAGCATGCATGACCACAGGGTTCACCACGCCAGCATACATGACTACAAGGTTCACCACACAATACTTGGCCACAAGGTTCACCACACCATACATGACCACAAGGTTCACCACGCCAGCATACATGACCACAAGGTTCACCACACCAGCATACATGACCACAAGGTTCACCACACCTGCATACATGACGACAAGGTTCACCACACCATACATGACCACAAGGTTCACCACGCCAGCATACATGTCCGCAAGGTTCACCACACCAGCATACATGACCACAAGGTTCACCAAGCCAGCATACATGACCACAAGGTTCACCACACCAGCATACATGACCACAAGGTTCACCACACCAGCACACATGACTATAAGGTTCACCACACCAGCACACTTGACCACAAGGTTCACCACGCCAGCATACATGTCCGCAAGGTTCACCACACCAGCATACATGACCACAAGGTTCACCACACCAGCATACATGACCAAAAGGTTCACCACACCAGCATACATGACCACAAGGTTCACCACACCAGCATACATGACCACAAGGTTCACCACACCAGCATACATGACCACAAGGTTCACCACACCAGCATACATGACCACAAGGTTCACCACACCATACATGACAACAAGGTTCACCACACCAGCACACATGACCACAAGGTTCACCACACCAGCATACATGACCACAAGGTTCACCACACTATACATGACCACAAGGTTCACCACACCAGCATACATGACCACAAGGTTCACCACACCATACATAACCACAAAGTTCACCACACCAGCATACATGACCACAAGGTTCACCACACCATACATGACCACAAGGTTCACCACATCAGCATACATGACCGCAAGGTTCACCACACCAGCATTCATGACCACAAGGTTCACCACACCAGCATACATGACCACAAGGTTCACCACACCACCATACATGACCACAAGGTTCACCTCACCACCATACATGACCACAGGGTTTACCACACCATACATGACCACGAGGTTCACCACACCAAGCATTACCACAAGGTTCACCACACCAGAATACATGACCAAAAGGTTCACCACACCATACATGACCACAAGGTTCACCACACCAGCATACATGACCACAAGGTTCACTACACCAGCATACATGACCACAAGGTTCACCACACCCAGCATACTAGACCACAAGGTTCATCACACCATACATGACCACAAGGT